TTTCAATGAGCATAGTGCACCTGCCAATAGATGTCCAACTAATGGTGGGCACACGCCCCACATTGAGGATCGAGCCTGAAACCTGGGCATGTGTCCTGACCGGGAATAGAAACATGACCTCCTGGTTCATAGGTCGATGCCCAACCCCCGAGCCAGGCCGGCCGGGCTCATTGAGCTGCATGACGTGGTTACAGAAAAGGACTCAAGGCCGCCGGCGACAGCCCGGCCAGCTCTCCTGTGTCAGCATCCCCTCGTCGGCGAGGACAGCTCTGTGTCAGTGACGCTCCTCGTGCTCAAGACACCCCCTTCCCGGCAGTCACAACTTCGTGCCTCTCATTTCACCTGAACGTGTCCTTCCTGGAGACCTGGGAGGAGACGGGAGACGATGCTGGTGTCATGAGTGGGCCCGAGCGTGGGCCTTCCTGCAGGGCGCATGTGGGGCGACATTCTGACTGTGGCGGCACGTGCCTGGGCTTTTTCGGGGTGTCCCCAGCCTGCCCGGGTCTGTGTGGACACTGGTTCGCCTTGTGGGCATAACTACTAAGGTACCATCCACAGAGCATCTCCGTGCTGGCTGCCCGCACGCACGTCTGTGTCTTGGAGAGATGACTTGCTCTAAAAGCCACCTTTTATTCTTTCTCCTTGAAAGGCTTTCGTTGTCAGCTTTCAATCTGAAGAATTAGTTTTTGGCCATGAAACCCATGCGGACGCCATCCGCGGCCCTGGGCTGAGCTGAGTCTCCGGGTGCTGACCTGGTCGCATGAATCTCCCACGATGAGCCGGCCGCTCTCTCCCGAATCTCACGTATGGTTCGCGCGGGGAACTGGACCTGTGTTGGCAGCGCTGACAGAAGCAGGACACGGGACAGTGCTCAGAACATCTCAGCTGTCATTAGAGGGAGCCTTCGAGTCACCGGTTTGATCCAGAAACATGCAAAAGCAAGCCATGCATGACAAAGCACTGGCAAATGCGACATAGTGTCCTTGCTCTGTGGTCGCCTGGTGGGGCCCACG